AGTCAAACTCAGTGTGTCATCAAACCACAGCCCTGGAATCCAGGGCTTGCTGGGAACCACCAGCACTGTCTGCTCGTACAGCACTGGACTTGCAAAAGGCTCCTCCTGTCCTTAGCTCCCATGCTCTGGGGGGTTTGCCAGAACCACCAGAAGTACTTCTCATCTGCAAATCCAGCTAATTACTTTTAGATAGTGCTAGTCAACAAGGTGAGACAACAGAAGACTCAAGAAGGCCATGTACACTCTGCAGACAGGTATGGTGCACCCCAGGGCTCAGAACCACCCAGGCAGAATTATGCTGTCCCCATCCATTACCAGCAAAGCAGCCCCCAAGGAGGCACTTCTCCAGGACCTGGATGGCTCCACGGAGCACTGGCACCAGCTCCAGGCTGGTGCAGACCATGCTTCACTCCACCTGACCCATCTGCCATTTAACTTCAGCAGTCAATGGGAAAAATGGGGATGATTGAACCATAGATCTAAGTGGTCGATTAGTAAAATAAATATTCCACAGTAAAGGCAGCAATATCCCTTCCACAACAACTTCTTCCAGACGAGTCACATACTCCATTTTTACAAAAAATGACCCACTAAAAGGCCAGCTATGATGCTAAATAAAACCCACCTTAATGCAGGTTAAAGCTACTTAACTGGGAAGAATTGAATGAAACCCCTTTGCTTCCAACACACACCCCAGCTGCACACCAAAGCAAGCATCTTTAGAACAATCCTGCAAATACATGGCAAATAAGCAATGGATTTATTAGTTGTACAGAGGTCAGGATCATGAACCTGATTCCTCATTCCAGGAATAGCAGGACTATCTGTTGTCTATTCTGGTCAGCCCAGCTTGGATGCAGAACAAAAGAATACTTTTCAATGGTGACACCAACAGTAGTTCACCTCCTTCGAGGTGCTAGCTTAGATCCTTCAAACACACCACGGAATTTTCTGGAGAACTAAATGGGAACAAAGGCCAGTATCTGAGACACCTGTTCCACACATGAGAAAATTCATTTTAAAATTATGATGAATGGTTTCAGCCCAGCCTCCCCTCAGAAATAAGGATGGCAGAAGAGGGAAGCACTACTGACATACACTGCTCGAGTGCTCCACAGCAAAACATATGTTGAAATCCCTTGATGCAAATTCCAAACTATATACTTTAAGTGTGCAGGTATTGGCAACAAATACAACAGGAGTGCTTATTAAGTACATGCCTTGCAGAGGACATACAAGGCATCCAGTTGTTGCTCTTGCATCTTCCACTGACTTCTTTCAGTGCACTTCTCTGTAATCAAGGTACATTCATGACAGAGGATGTGCAGTTCAGACAAGGAAAGCACTTATCCTAAAGTTAAGAGAAAAATGAGCAGCAGAGAAGCTCCACCACATCACACTACCTGCCTATTCACCCTAAAGGAAAGCTTCAGAAAAGAGTAACTAGCTCTGTGAAATGAGAGTGAGGGGAGAAGTTTCTCCTTCACAATATCTGAAAGCAACCCCAGGCAGAAACACTCTGCAAGGCCATGCCTGGGAGGAGAGAGGAAGCTCCAAGAAGAGGTGCACAGGAACAAAACATACGGAAACCTTCAGAGAAACAAAGGGGAAGAGGAGCAAGAATACCATAAGGAAAAACAAATGGAAACAGGGAGCCACTGCCTGCCCTCGAAGAGGAACACGCAATCCCTGTAACAGGAAACACGAGGCCAAATTCTGCCCTCACATTCCTAGGAAATACAAAGCAAACTTGCCTTCCCTGTTTGAAGTAGTAATAGATATTGGGAGTGAGTGTCCACGGAGCAAACTTCCCAGCAGAAGTTTTATCAAGCCTTCTCCTGTGTGCAGGAGCTGGTGGGTCTACATCAGAGCAAGCCACCAGATCCACAGGACAAGTGGAAGTGGTGGCCAGCACCAGTTCCCTGCACCATAACACCAACAGACAAGGGTCTGGGAAAGAAACATTCTATTGTACACCCCAGCAAACACGTTACAACTGCTCACTCCCCAGCTAGTCAGTTAAACCATCATCTCAGGCAGCCAAATGTTGTGTTGAATACAGCTTTTATCTTTGCCATGATCCTCAAGTTTTCCAGAAGGAAAGTGGTAGAAAAACTTAACATATTTGCCTAAATAAAGCATAAGGTTTAACCATAAAACGCAAAAAATAAGAGAGTTGAAGGAAGGGAGTCAGTGACACACTGTAACAAATCCAGCATTTAAGAAAGCACTACAGGTTTAACGTAATCTTTGCACGACAACTCCCAGTTCTCTTGAGATGGATTTGACCTCATTTTTATTTAAAAGTGCAACTGAAATATTTATAAACAGCCCCCTGGAAAAGCATTCAGGTGCAATTTAACTGTTTAGCATCTATAGTGATTTAGACTTGGCAGGTCAACTCTAGAACTCGCTGTGTTTGAAGTTCTTTTATGAGATCCTAGGGAAAGGGGATGGTTGGATCTGAGAAAGCAAAACTTGTAACTGCTGCCAGCCACCCCTCCCACACACCAACAGATCATATCAAGTCTGAAAAAATACACACAGGGTGAGAATTAGCTAACGTCCGAACTGGTTCTCCAATCAGGGAACATTTATCAGCCAAAGTAAATCCTATGGCAAGTAACTGGCTTCACAGCAGAGGGGGGGTGGAAAGTAGGTCATAGCAGATCTCAATAAAAAACTGGGCATACAGTAATTGCATACAATAATTTGATGAAAACCAGTTGCCTCACCACATCTATGATGTCTTTCACTACTCTGTTGAGTTTTTTTTAAGAGTTTGATAAATTTCCAGTAAGTGATACTAAGCCTGAATGAAGCAAGGCAGTTTTAAAAGTGAAGTGTCATCAACGTGTCAAACTGCAACTTAAAAGTCAAGTTCATCACACACCTTATATTTCAAGTAATAAATTATCAATCATAACTCATTAAATACCTTTACATCAGTCATTTATTTAAAAAATTCTGAAGAATTTCCCCAGCACAGACTCATACGTCACATACTGTAACACTCAAAGCAACACCACAACAAAGAACTCTGACCTCCCAGGTCCTCTCAACACACAACGCTCACTCACAACACTCCATCACTCCTGCTTTGAGTAATATTTATTCATCTTTGATGTAAATATGCAAAAAGACATGATGGTCCATTGAATATTTTAAATACCGCCTCAAATTCTACAAACAAAAGCAATTTAAAAAGCAGCAAAAATGAATAGAAAGCTGATGAATTAAATGAATTAAAATTAGAAGCCATTCACATGAGTCCATTAAAAGCTAAATGGAAGTACAATGTTCTAGACCCGAGGATCACATCTGCAAGAAAGGCTACAGCTCTTAACCTGAAATCATCCACTGCTATCCCTCTTAATGGCCCTTTAAAAGCAAAAACATCCTACTACCCCAACAGTTTGAAAATTATAATTTAAAAAAAAAAAAAAGGTAAGAGCACGTGAGAGAAAACTGCTGCTCTCAAAATGAACATCAGCATGGTGGGCAAGTGAGAATGATTGAGTGTGACACCAGATCCAACCCGTGTGGGCTCCCACACCTCATTCAGGCTCTCCTCCTGCCATCAGCCACGCACACGCCTGACGTGAGGCTGGGAGAAGTTGTGGTGGCTGCCAGGCTACGACCAGGCAGCTGCAGGATCAGTGTGTTTCACCTGAGCCAATGGAGGAGCCAAGGAAATAGACACCCACAGGAATGGAGCACAAAGCACAGGTTTAGCAGCACGGCAAAACGAGATGGAACAAGCGGAGAATCAGCTCTAGGTGCACAGAGCACTGCTGTCCCCAAAAGCTTGACCTCATCCAATGCTAGAACTGCCCTAGTTAAAATTAAGTTCTACACCTCTGTGTATATTGTAAAAAGCACAGAGATGCCTGTAACCAACCTGCATCCTAAAACAGTGAAGCATTACCACGCTCTGTTGCTGTACCTCAGAGAGTTTTGATAGCCCAAAAGCACACCCCCCATTAAAAATGTAGGCACTTCACATTGTCTGAAGCACAGCGTGCACAATAACCAACCCAACACGCCTTCACCTCCTCTGTCAATCAAGGCAAGACAGCCAAGTCATGCAAACAGCCTGCTGATGAGAGCATCTCGACACATGGCTTCACTCACAGGAGGAAAATGATGCCTCTCACAATGGAAATCTTACAGACTACTTCCTTGGCACAGCAAAGCAACGGGAACTCAAATTTGGAAGGTACATTATGAACAAAATCAGAAGTCAGCATGGCAGAAAGAACCAGAAAAAGAAAGAATAAGCAGAGCACTGCATGCCTGTTTTCTCACCAACTTATAGTTCTAGACAAACTTTCTGAACCCATTAGTTGGGAAAGTGCAAGTTTTAGGGGCTTTTCTGAGATTAAATTAACAACCCCATGTCGGCTTCATCATCTCACAAAGACTTCCACAGTTACTCAGCACAAGGCAATCAGAGACCTGACAGCTGAAGCTTTCAGAAATCTGCACCATTCCCACACACAGCACAAAGCCAAGTCCTCCTGGATGACAACAGACACTGAGAGATCAACATCCCAGGATGAGAGCTGTTGTTCTCATGGCATCTTTAGTTTCAGCCGTTTCCTTTCTCGCTCCCTAATCCCCAACCATTTCTACTCCTGCAGAAAACACAGGTCAATCTCCACCCAAACCACAGAAAAACACCTGCCCCTAACCACAGTCAGAACGTTTCTGGCCGGCTGCAGATCTCCATGAGGTTTGCCGTACAATCAGCAACAAAAATGCACTGAACAACAAAAAGATTCGGGTTGCCACCACATCCACAAAATATGTCTTCCAGCTCCAATTAAACGTTTGAAAGAGAATTTTTAAAATCCACAGGCTTTTGAACGGGGACAGAGGGACCTCATCGGTGGGAACGGGGACGCGACCAGCTGATATCCAGGCAACAACGAAAAAAAACTCAACAAGTCGGCGCAGCCCGGCACCACGGAGAGCCGCGCCGGGAGGTGCGGACCTACCTTGTGGAGGTGCCTTTCCTGACATCGCAGATGCTGCACTTGAAGGCTTCGGCGCTGTTCCTGAAGGTGCACACGCTACAATCCCAAAAGCCTTCATCGGCTGTAGGTTTGGCTTGCCTCTTCGGCCTTGAGGAAAGAGAGGGAGAAGGGAAGCGTGTGTGTGTGTGTGTGTGTGTGTACGTGTTGTTTTGGGGAGGAGGAGAGAGGCGGCGGGAGGAGGAGGGAGAAGAGGAGGAGAGAAAGAAAACACACACATGAGAAACCATGTTACAGAGCCCCGAAACACAGCGCCTGCTCTCCC